AATTTACTCACCAACCAATAATGTGAAAGAGGAAGAAATTGAAGATTTTTACCAACTTCTGCAGTCTGAAATTGATCAAACATGCAATCAAGATGCATTGATAATTACTGGTAATTAGAATGAAAAAGTTGGAAACAAAGAAGAAAAATGGGTAGCTGGAAAATACGGTCTTGGTAATAGAAACGACGTGGGAGATCAAATGATAGAATTTTGCAAGACTAACAACCTGTTTATTGGAAATACCTTTTTTTTAACAACATAAATGGCGACTATACACATGGACCTCGCCAGACGGAATACACAGGAATCAGATCGACTACATCTATGGAAAGAGACAATAGAAAAACTCAATATCATCAGTTGGAACAAGGCCAGGGAACGACTGTGGAACAGGCCATCACTTGCTCATATGCAAGTTCAAGTTGAAGCTGGATAAAATTAAAACAAATCCACGGAAGCCAAAGGATGACCTTGAGTATATCCCACCTGAATTTAGAGAACATCTCAAGAATAGATTTGATACACTAAACACTAATGACCAAAGACCAGATGAGTTTTGGGATGACATCAAGGACATCATACATGAAGAAAGAAAAAGGTCACTAAAAAGGCAAGAAAGAAGGAAAAAACAAACAAACAAACAAAATGGATGTCAGAAGAGACTCTGAAACTTGCTTTTAAACGTAGAGTAGCTAAACTGAAAGGATGAAATGATGAAGTAAAAGAGCTGAACAGAAGATTTCAAAGGGCAGCTCGAGAAGACAAAGTAAAGTATTGCAATGAAAAGTACAAAGACCTGGAGTTAGAAAACCAAAAAGGAAGTGCACACTTGGCATTTCTCAAGCTGAAAGAACTGAAGGAAAAATTGAAGCTTCAAGTTGCAATATTGAAGGATTCTATGGGCAAAATATTGAATGGCACAGGAAGCTTCAAAACAAGATGGAAGGAATACACAGAGTTACTGTACCAAAAAGAATTGGTGGATGTTCAACCATTTCAGGCGGTAGCATATGATCAGGAACCTATGGTATGAAGGAAGACGTCTCAGCTGCATTGAAGGCATTGGTGCAAAACAAGGATCCAGGAATTGATGGAATACCAATTGAGATGTTTCAACAAATAGAGGCAACTCTGGAAGCCCTCACTCGTCTATGCCAAGAAATTTGGAAGATAGCTACCTGCCCAACCGACTGGAAAAGATCCATATTTCTGCCAATTCCAAAGAAAGGTGATCCAACAGAGTGCAGAAATTATCAAACAGTATCATTAATATCACAAGAAAGTAAAATTTTGCTGAAGGTCATTCAAAAACAGTCACAGCACACACTACAGGGGAAGTCAGCATAACTGGACTAAACCAAAGCTAAGAAGTATCCTGAATACAACCAAACACTTCAAGGGACAGAGTAGCAGGGGCGGAGGTCTGGGGACTATGCTTTCAGGGGACATCTAGGTCAATTGGTATAACAAAGTTTATTAAGAAAATGTTCTGCATTCTACTTTAGTGAGTGGCGTCTGGGGTCTTAAAAGCTAGTGAGCCGCCATCTAAGATACATCAATTGGTCCCAACCCACCTGGAGTAAAGGAGAATGAAGAACACCAAAGTCACAAGGAAAGCATTAGCCCAAGAGACAGAAAGGGCCACATAAACTGGAGACTGCAACAGCCTGAGACCAGAAGAACTAGATGGTGCCCGGCTACCACCAATGACCGCCCTGACGGGGAACACAACAGAGAGTCTCTGTTGGAGCGAGAAAAGTTGGGGGGCAGAACTCAAATTCTAGTAAAAAGACCAGACTTAATGGTCTGACTGAGGCTGGAGGAGTCCCAGAAAGCATGGCCCCCAGACTCTCTGTCAACCCAGCACTAAAACCATTCCTGAGGCCAACTCTTCAGTCAAAGATTAGACTGGACTATGGGACATAAAATGATACTTGTGAAGAGTGTTCTTCTTAGCTCAAGTAGATTCATGAGACTAAATGGGTAGTTCCTGTCCAAAGGTGAGATAAGAAGGCAGAGAGGGTCAGGAGCTGGTTGAATGGACGCGAGAAATCAGGGGTGGAAAAGAGGAGTGTGCTGTCACAGTATAGGGAGAGCAATTAGGGTTACATAACAACGTATGTATAAATTTTTGTATGAGAGACTAACTTGAATTGCAAGCTTTCACTTAAACTACAACAATAAAAACAAACAAAAAACTGGTTGCAGCAGTTTATCTACAAGAAACGGCCAGGATTTCATGCTGGATTCAGAAGAGGATGTGGAATGAGGGATATCATTGCTGATGTCAGATGGATCTTGAGTGTAAGCAGATAATACCAGAAAGATGTTTACCTGTGTTTTATTGACTATGAAAAGTCATTTGACTGTGTGGATCATAACAAATTACGGATAACATTGAGAAGAATGGGAATTCCAGAACACTTAATTGTGCTCACTTAATGTGAAATCTGAACATAGACCAAGAGGCAGTCGTTCAAACAGAACAAGGGGATGCTGCATGGTTTAAAATCTGAGAAGCTGCAGTATATGAAGAAGAATGTGGCATCAAGGTTGGAGGAAGACTAACAATTTGTGATATGTAAATGATACACACAACCTTGCTTGGTGAAAGTGAAGAGGACTTGAAGCTGTCAAGTTGAAGTCATTAAGGATTTTATTTCCCTTAGATCCACAGTTGCGACCAACTCGACAGCACACAACAACCACCCTAACTACAAGGTTTCTCCTTCCCCCTCTTCATTCCAGTCTGGCAGCTGGATGCAGGGAAGTTTACGTTTTATCATTCTTGGCCTTGTGGCACAATTCCATGTCACCTGTTCAGTTGAAGTGTCTACCTGGCTGCTTTGGTCTCACCTGATTCTCACTGAGGCTCTTGATCCCCTGCAGGCTGTATGTGAAAGCCATGTGATCCCTTATTACAAGGTCACTTGCCTTCTGCCTTGGTGATGTCCTGCTGAACTCACCAGTTATCACCAACTTGCACTCCCAGCTACTTCTCAGATCCCCTTGTGGCACCCAGGAACTTCTGGACCCCCTGTACCTCTCATACAGGCCATTCATTATGAACCAGGGGTGCTACCTCAGGCCCAATCTGCTGGGACAACTCCCTCAGCCATTTCTATTCTACAGCTTGGGCACCATGTTTGATGTAGTGACAGGTAGACCCAGGGGCTCCTCTGAGAGATCCGAAGACTCCTTAGGCTACACCCAGCTTTATAAATCGGGCACCAGCTTTGATGTAAATGGAAATGGGGCACCAGCTTTGATGTTTTTGCAATCCTTAAAACTACGTGGGTGCTCTTTTCTGCACCTACTGCAAGAATGAAGACCATTCTCAGCAACCAGACTGTCGACATTTCAGAAAATGTCAACATTACTCTGAAGGGACGCACAGTTATTGTGAAGGGCCCCAGAGGAGCCTTGCGGAGGGACTTCAATCACATCAATGTAGAACTCAGTCTCCTTGGAAAGAAAAAGAAGAGGCTTCGTGTTGACAAACGGTGGGGAAATAGAAAGGAACTTGCTATCGTTCGCGCTGTCTGTAGTCATGTACGGAACATGATCAAGGGTGTTACCCTGGGCTTCCGTTACAAGATGAAGTCTGTGTATGCTCACTTCCCCATCAATGTTGTTATTCAGGAGAGTGGGTCGCTTGTTGAAATCCGGAACTTCTTGCGTGAAAAATATATCCGTAGGGCTCAGATAAGGCCAGGTGTTGCTTGTTCAGCATCTCAAGCCCAGAAAGAAGAGTTAATTCTTGAAGGAAATGACACTGAACTTGTATCAAATTCAGCTGCTTTAATTCAGCAAGCCGCGATAGTTAAAAACAAGGATATCCAAAAATTTTTGGGTGGTATCTAAGTCTCTGAAAAAGGAACCATTCAAGAGGCTGATGAGTAAGATCTAAGAGTTGTCCAGCTATGGAAACAAGGCCAGATGATTCCTAAGACTTAACAGGTGATATTTTTAAGATGCAATAAAATTCATTTACTCAAAAAAAAAAAAAAAAAAAAACTACATAGGTGTTTTACCCCCCTTACACCTGGGGTTTTGATCCCAGTGGGTGCAATAGGGGAGCCAGCACACTCACAGCCTGACCCTTGCCTGCCTTGCCTTGTTCTCTTTCTCAGTAACCTCCCCCCAAGTTCTCAGAATAGCTTTCCTTCTTCTTGTGGGACGGAAATTCCCCTTTTTTCAAATCTGCATTCTTCGCTCCTCTGTGATTCACTCAATGATCAACTCTCTAATCTTTGAATTTTTGATGTGTGAAAACTCCAGTCTTGGAAGTAAGAAAACCCTTTCCCCTCTCTGAAAAATGTGGCCTTCAAGACTATTGTCTTGCTATGAGATTTGAAGTCTACTTCAAAACTCAAAGCAGAGAAATGACGACTTTGATTCATGCTCTATCCACACTCCACTCCCTGAGACAGGTATGTCTCTTCCACCTCCTGGTCTAGGTTCAATGGCAGAAGTGCTGTAAAGAAGGAAAAGAATGCATTATGGGGAAAGGAATATATGTTAAGTGATATTCCAAACAGTATTCCATTGCATTATTAAAAAATAGATGTAAATGCAAACAAAACCCGACAATAAATATCATCAAAAAAAAAAAAAAGAAAGAAAGAAAGAAAGAAAACCCTTAGCTGGAATCCACTCAGCAACTAACAACAACAACTACAGTTTGTTTATCCATTCACCTATTGAAGGACATCTTGGTTGCTTCCAATTTTGGGCAATTATGCATAAAGCTGCTATACATATCATGGGCAGGTTTTTACCTGGAGATACGTTTTCATGTCACTTGGGTAAATACCTAGGAAAGCGATTGTTGGATCAAATGGCCAGTCAAGGTTTGGCTTTGTAAGAAACTGTCAGGCTGTCTTCCAAAGTGGCTGTACCATTTTTTTGTGACTGATTTCGGACAAGGAAGCTGACGAAAATGAGCAAGATTAGCTGAGCAGCAAAGCTGTGCGAGGTGTGGGGAGGTTGGCGCTGGGATGGACCTGGAGGTTTGTTCACACAGGATAGTGAGGAGGACCTGGCGTTACTTTCTGGGATGGCTGAGAGTAAGAAGGTGTGTATGTGCACGTGTGTGTACGTGCATGAGCCTTCGTGTGCGCGCGCGCGCGCGTATGTGTGTGTCTGTGTGTGTGTTGTGAGTATTTCGGATTTCAGAGTTACCGTGAAACTCTGCGCGCAGGTCTGCATTTGTGTGTCGGTGGCTGTGTGTCCACGAGCCCCTCAGGGCAAGGCCGGCCTCAGTTTCGGGTTTCTGTCGTCCGTGCATGTGTGTCCTGTCTCTGTGTGTGTCTTGCTCTGTGTGTGTACTCGGCTGTGGGTGGGTGGGT